ATTATTATTATTATTATTATTATTATTATTATTATTATTATTATTATTATTGTTGGCATCCTTTCAGTAGACGCTTCTGGGCACAGATCCCAATTTGTTAATAATTGCAAATGTAAGCTGGCCAGAAAGCAAAAGGGACAATGCTCGTAGACTCAGCCATGAAATCTAGGAGAATGATATATAGAAAGTCGCAGGAGTGAGGTTGGGCTCCTTTCAGCATCTTTATGGCTCGAATTATTCTCTGATTTAGGAGGCTTTGGTTAGCAGGAATGCAAACAGCCCTGATTGAAAAGGACGCTGCGCAAGGAGGGCGAGGTTTATGAGGGTGCAGGGCAGTTCCATCCATCTCCACTGCACGAGGTTTTAAAATATGCGGGGTGTGGGTTTCCCTGTGCGTGCATGCCGTCTTTACATCCTACCTTCTCTACGGAGAAATGCACACCCGTTTTACATCCATCCTCATAAAAGGGTGGCGAGATACGTGCTGGAGATCTTAACGCCTCTCCTTCCAAGGTGAGCCTACTCTCAGCCGCAAGTTAGAAGTACAGGCTACAACAGTTTATGCAGAATATAGAATAACAGAGTTGGAAGGCACCTTGGAGGTCTTCTAGTCCAACCCCCTTCTCAGGCATTCAGACAAATGGTTGTCCGGTTTCTTCTTTTTTTTAAAAAAAAAAAACAGCATTGGAGCACCCACAGCTTCTGAAGGCAAGCTCTTCCACCGATTAATTGTTCTCGCTGTCAGGAAATTTATCCTTGGTTCTAGGTTAGATCTCTCTCATTTCGTGACCATTCAAAGTTACAACATCACTGGAAAAAAAAGAGAGAGAGAGAGAGAGAGCCCTCAGATGGAGAGTCGACAGCCCCCAGGTCTGCAGCTGGCTGATGAGGAAGAGGAGGAACAGCTGGGTACAGTGCCTGATGCACAGATGCACAGAAGGCAGAGGAGAGGAGAGCAGTGGAAATCTATGGGCAGGTCCTTGGGACAGAAGAGCCACCGCTGCTAGAGAAGCCCCACCCTGGCTCTGGGGATAAAAGGCAGGGGGTAGAGATGAATAGATGGGGCAGAAAACTATTTATCTCCCTGCATTGAGAGAGAAATTTTTTTGCCAGGGCCTTTGCATTAACTTCAGAGGGTTTGTGGTGTTTGGGGAACTGGATCAGAACATGGGGATTCTTAATTAATTAAGAGGTCCAGATTTCTCCTTGCATTGGTTTGGCCACCCCCGGGGGAATCCGCACCTGCCCCCAAGAAGAGCCTTTAATCTCAGGTAGGGCATCAACTCAACATCGGTGTCTCTAGGATAGCCACCCTTGCAAGCTTGAAACATTCTTTGCCGGCCTGTAAATTCTGCGCTTGCGACTTTAAAACGGGATGAACGTTAACAGCGCATGGGGCTTTTGGGTATTTGATGTGAGAAGAGTCCTGACTTGAGCGAGGATGATAGATTGGCTGATTTCTATTTATCAGTACAAGGCTCATTCGGTGCAGCCGAGTCAGAGCTGCCTTTGTTTGCAGAGGGCAAGGAGGTCCTGCCGTAAATTAAGCCGGGCTGAATTTCTCTCTCTCCCCCCCCCCACTTTTCTCCCTCCCTATGATGAAAACTAATGAATCTTTCACAATAACCCCAACAGATGCATGCATCGATCTGAGCGCTTCACGTCCGCCCTGGTTTGGGGTTAGAAGCAGAGCCATTCTGGCTTTTCATTCAATCTTTTTTCCTGCTTAAAATTGGTTTCCATAATTATTCATTTATCCAGTGTGTATCCCATCTTCATTCTTTTGAAAGTGGTGTAGCTATAGCAATAGCCCTTAGACTTAGATACCGTGTCACAGTGCTTTACAGAGCCATCCTCTTGCCCCCAACAATCTGGGTCCTCATTTTACCCACCTCGGAGGGAAGGCTGAGTCAACCTTGAGCCAGTGAGAATCAAACTGCTGGCAGTTGGCAGAATTATCCTGCAATGCTGCATTCTAATCACTTCATCGTCTTCACTGTAGCCACCATCCAGAAGACAATTTGAGATGGGACATACATTAGTTGGTGCTCATCATTCTCCGATGCCCAAAGAGACGGGGAGAATGAAACGTGGTTCTTCTGAATTCAAACCACAAGCTTGCTCGTTGAGCTACAGTGTGAGCCTATATCTCTTCCAACATTTGAGATGGACATTAGTTGGTGCTCATCATTCTCCGATGCCCAAAGAGGTGAGGGAATGAAACGTGGTTCTTCTGAATTCAAACCACAAGCTCGCCCTCGTTGAGCTACAGTGTGAGCCCATATCTCTTCCAACATTTGAGATGGACATTAGTTGGTGCTCATCATTCTCCGATGCCCAAAGAGACAGGGAGAATGAAACGTGGTTCTTCTGAATTCAGACCAGAAGCTCGCTCGTTGAGCTACAGTGTGAGCCCATAGCTGTGCCAACATCACTTAAAGTATGAAGTTGAAGGCCATCAAGCACGGTAGACCTGTAAAAGCTTTCCCAGGGCAAACTACTAAGAGGCATATTCTTTGCTAGAGAAAAAAGAAACTGGATTGAGTCAGATAAGAAGCATCACCTACTCTTTCCTCTCCTCCTTCAGCCAGCATCTACTTTCTCCCCTCCTTATATCTCAAGGCAGAGACTGGAGATTAAGGAGTAAGGCTTGCAGCTGATAACAGAATTGGACATTGTTTTGATTGGGGGAAAACGTTTCCAGCCACAAAGCCGGGTGTTATCTCAACAGCTCAGCAGAATGCCAAGTTTTTAGCTGATCCCCTTGTTTCATTTCTGTAATGAGATAGCTTTTCTGTAAAACACCTCCCTTTTAACCACAGCAATTTTCAGTTGCAGTGGCTGGTTGGGCTACCTGGTCAAATCAGCCTCACGCAAGCGGGGAAGAAAAGAAGAAAGGCTGTTTTTACGGGGCAGCTTCCACTGTAGGGCATATTAAGTCTCGGCTACATATTGGTGAGCTTTAAAAAGATCGCCTCTGCAAAGGAGGAGTACGTTGGTTGCAGGCTCTCAGCATAGATTAGATGCGCAATGGGGTCCTTTGTGCTCTCTGAACTTAGTGGTTTTCTTGCAGACATTTCATCACCCAAACTAAGTATCATTGCTAGCACTGATTTTGGGTTAGGTTTAAGGACTGCTCGTTTCAATTCTGAGCTACAGATATCCTCCTTTATTGGAGGAGGTTATGGCCAGACAGCAAGAGGAATATCTTGATTGTACGAGTGTCGGCTAACCCAACTAAGTAATTCTGGGGATTAAGAGCCATTGGTTCAAAAAGAACTGGAGAATTAAATGACAGGAAGCAAGGATTGAAAAATAGACTGGACAACCGTTTGACCGGGGTAGTATAAAGTCTCCTGCATTGAGCAGAAGGTTCGACTAGAAGACCTTCAAAGTCCATTCCAACCCTATTCTATTCTATTCTTATTCTTATTCCTCTTCTGTTCTACTCTGCTGTATTCGGATAGAATAATAGGTAAGGTAAATTTCCTGACAATGGAAATAATTAATCAGTGGAATAGCTTGCCTCCTACGGCTGTAGGTACTCCATCGCAGGAGGTTTTCAAGAATAGAGTAGAGAAGCGTTTGACTGGGATGAGTAAAGTCTCGTGCCTTCAGTAGGGGGTTGGACTAGAAGACCTCCAAGGTCCCTTCCAGCCCTATGATTCTATATTCTAAAGTGGTAACGTCTCCTTTGCTAGAGAACTTCAGACAGTTTAGTCTAACAGGACTGTCCTGTGTCTTCCTGTTTCCCTCTTCAGAAGCCCGCACGAAAAGAAGAAGAGGCGGTCGCACTGTCACGTCAAGTCCAAAGCGAGGTCCCACTCCCCGTCCGTCTCGCCGGGGAAACAGCCCACCCATAAGAATTCCAGTCACTCGGCCAGCATCTCTCCCGTGGAGAGTCGAGGATCCAGCCAAGAGCGTTCTGGGTAATGAGCCCCCAAGAGCCCCCATTCCGGCTGAGCGTATAAATAATCCAAACCGGGAAAAGTAAATAATGGTAAAAGGAGTGGGGTGTTTGCTGATTCTCTGCCTCAAAAAATAAAAATAAAATCCAAGCTCGGTTCCCTTTCTTCTCCAAGCCTTCGGGGGGGGGGCGACACAGCGAGCAGGCATTGAGCATGTTGGAATTGCAAATGCTCCAGCATCACAACGACACGCTGCAGTTGTTTAACCCGGTTACCTGTTTGACTGCCCTTCTGCATCATCTCGTGAGAAATCAAAGAGGAGTCGAAGAGCGTTGCATAGATCGCTCCGTGAAACTCTGCGGAGGGGTTAGGCTGGTGGCGTTGAAGTGCGAGGCAGGCAGGCTGGTTTTCTTTTTTCCAATGCTCTCCTGTTCAGAAAAGAGAAAAAAGAACCCAGCTGACCTCCAGTTAAATACCAACACCTTATGTGTGATGCTTCTGCTTGCAGAGGGAGGGAGGTAAAGAGAGGGAGGAAGGGAGGGAGATAGATAGACAGACAGACATGTATAGATAGAAAGGTTGGATGGATGGAGGTGGGAGATAAATAGACAGACAGACATGTATGGGTAGAAGGGATGGATGGATGGATGGATGGATGGATGGATGGATGGATGGATGGATGGAGATGGGAGATAAATACACAGATAGACATGTATGGGTAGAAGGGATGGATGGAGATGGGAGATAAATAGACAGATGTATGAATAGAAAGGTTGGATGGATGGATGGATGGATGGATGGATGGATGGATGGATGGATGGATATGGGAGATAAATAGACAGATGTATGGATAGAAAGGTTGGATGGATGGATGGATGGATGGATGGATGGATGGATGGATGGATGGAGGTGGGAGATAAATAGACAGACAGACATGTATGGGTAGAAGGGATGGATGGATGGATGGATGGAGATGGGAGATAAATACACAGATGTATGGATAGAAAGGTTGGATGGATGGATGGATGGATGGATGGAGATGGGAGATAAATAGACAGATGTATGGATAGAAAGGTTGGATGGATGGATGGATGGATGGATGGATGGATGGATGGATGGAGATGGGAGATAAATAGACAGACATGTATGGATAGAAAGGTTGGGTGGATGGGTGGATAGTGGGTGGGTGAAAATAGACTAAACCAGGTTAAAGAGACTGACTGAGAGAGAGATGTAGGTAGGGAGATGGATGGATAGATAGGTGTTTTCTTACCCCTGAACAGCCTCTTATTATCTCCGCTCCAATTTTTTGGATTGTAGATAATAATTTGATATTTGACTGTGGCAAGATTCATTTTCAGGAGCAACAAGGTTCCATCTCCACCAATTTGATTTGGAGAAGGGATCGATCACCGGTATCAGTAGGGAAGCATCAGAATACCTTTCGGCTGCTTCAGTTGGGGGAGGGCAGAATGAATTAAAAACAGTCAGGACGGTTGGTCCTTTGGAGGATATTTACCTTGCAAGGTTAATAATCGATAAATTATTGAAATATTTCCTTTTTTAAAAAAAACAAAAACCACTGGGTACCAGGAAAAGATTTTGATTGTGTAGTTTAAAGACGCTGCCAGAAGGAGCAAATGAGATGGAAGAGGAGCATCGGGGTAAATCTGAATATCTCCCTCTGTCTTAGCGACCCTGACTAAGCACATTCCATCAGCAGAGTGAGAGGAAAAACCCCCCAGAGCAGCTCAAATCTCTTCTGGGCAGAGTTTGTGGGAGCTACTGGCTACTCTTCCCATGTCCAAGAATCCATCCAGCGTCTCCCCACCCGCCTTTCTCCCTAGCTGGGAAAGAAAGTTCCCGCCGTACCCGAGACGCCAAAACCGCAGGGAGATTGTCAAATCTCTGGATTGCGTTGCAATCTCTCTGAAGTTACGCAAAGGCCTCTGACATCTCAAAATCAATTTGAAGGTTCTCCCGGCTCCCCGCAGAATCCCGATTTCCCCTTTGAAGGTTTTTGCCTGGCTGTGTTTTTTAATTTTATTCTCCTGCGTTTTCGTGAGAACCCGAGGAACGTTGGGTGTGTGTGTGTGTGTGTGTGTGTGTTTTCTTCCTCTTTTATTCTTTTTCTCCTTTATTTTGGGAGACATTCAAGGGAATTGTTTCTCTGCCGCTTCTCCCCCACCCAAAAAAATCAGCATGGCTTCCTGTGAGAAGAACTGATCATCGGCAAATGTTGCAGAAGCAGCTTAATTTTAATTATTAATTATATGGGAATATTTGTGGAGAAGCTGCTAGCTAAGGATGCACCACTGATGAGATTTTTGCAGGGTGGGGAGGTCCGTGCTTCGTAGACATGCTTCGTTCCTTCTGATCTATATTTTTTTTTTCCCACTGATCTTACAAGTTGTTTAAGAGGCAGACTTAATCGCATTCATTTCCTGAAAAAAGTCCTTTCACTCCACCGTTCTTCTGGTTTTTTTATGTTTAATTGCAGTCGCTAGACTTAAGTCAGGTATGCTGTTAATTACCTGTCAGTTGATTGTGTGTTTCTTTTTTTTCTTTACTTCTCAATTTTTTTTAGGGGAGTGCCTTTGGAAAAAGAAGGCCAGATCTCTTCTGCCATTGTGTCATCCGTTCAGAGTAAAATCACTCAGGTACAACTAAAGCGTGTTCCGGATTTTCCAAGGCTTCGCAGTTACCACAGTTCGGGTTTTGAACATCGCAAAGGAGATGCCTAAAATTGGATCGCTGCATGTTTGTGTTTTGTGAGAGGAGGGAGTTTCTTTTTTGTTGTCTCTTGGTGCCAATGTTTGTGATTGAACAAGCAGTACTCACTCCGCTGGTGCCAATGTTTGTGATTGAACAAGCAGTACTCCGCTCACAACCACAATGGAAATTCTGTTGCGAAAGCAAGGCCATTGTTAAATGAATCATGGCTAGGTTTACACCCAGATTTTACTGAAGAATATAGAGTAATTTTCTGAGCTGGAAAAAAATCATGATGAATATAATAAAGGTAGGATGTGAATAAATTAAAAATTTAAAAAGTGGTTAGGAATGAGTGGGTTTAGCCCCACCCACCCAAACTGGTCCCAGATCCATCTTTTTCTCCAATTTTTTTTTTACAGATAGAAACGTTTTTCTGTTCCCAACAATGAGAAACTTTTAATCTCTTTTCTTTTGGGTCCTTGGAAGATAGATAGATAGATAGATAGATAGATAGATAGATAGATAGATAGAAAAGATCCGTCACCTGTGGAGAGTCTCTCTCTCATCCAGTCATGGTTGTCTCAAAGTTGCTTTTTCCAAAAGACAACTTAGACACTCTGGGGTTTTTTCCCTTGAAAACGTTTTGCTTCTCATCCAAGAAGCTTCTTCACTTCTAGAAAAAAAAAAAAACCAAGAAAATCCTGTTGCCTTTTGGGAAAAGTCCCTTTGAGTCCTGGATCCGTCTGTCTCCCTTTCTTGACTCATTGTGATTGGCATTTGGGCACTTTTTAATCTAGTCCATTCCAAAGCCCTCAACGCCCTGCCTTTTTGGTAACATTTTTTTCTCATTAAAGCTATCAAGTGCTTTAAAGGTAATTATCTTAATGCTGTTAGGTACAGCAGTGGAAAAACAAGGACACTGAAAAACTGCGATAAGATTCGTTTACAGATTTGGATATAATAGCATTGTTATGGGTTTTTGTTTCTTGGTTGGTCAAAGGATTGGAAAATAGCTTAAATAGGCACATTTTTCCTTCAGCACACTAAGCACAGTGCATATAAAAACCCCTTTCCTGTGTTCAGTTTTCCTTCACACAACCTGGTTAAAAAAAAACACACAATAATTTTAACAATCACCCCCCCGTTCAGCTTCACTTTCCTAAAAAAAAAAAAAAAGAAAAAGCAACCCATTGTCTTGGGTTTATTGCAAATGTAATTTGACTTGGTAGGATTACCTCGAAACGAGCTTTGGGGTTTCTCTTAATATGTTAATTTCCAGGCATTGCAATGGATGCATTTTAATAACTTGCACCATTTTTCCTAAGCGAGATCACGGAATGAATGTTCCCTTTCCTCTCTGAAAGAAAGGATTTTTGATACTTCAGATGACTGAATCGATTGGAAATGTGGGTTTTTGTCGAAAGTGGCTGCTTATTTTTGAAAGGGTGAAATATAAACCAGCTGTCGAGCTTTGTAAAGGGAGTCTTGACTTCAGACCTTGGAGAATGACCACCAGTTAAAAGATTCCTTTTTCACTATTGAGAAAAAGAAATGCAAAATAGGCTTTGATTTCTTTCCTTATTTGGAAAACTGGCCCAAGAAATGGCCTGTTCTGATATCCTTTTCTGCCTTTCAAAATGTTGTATAATTTTTAGTGACAGCCGTGGTTAAAATCTTGGATATCCTCCGGTTGGCTAAATTTGCCAGAGTGGCCTTACAGAAGCCAGCAATTTTGCAGCATAGACAATGCCAAGGAAATATTTCCATGCGTACTGAAACCAGCCATTTGAATTGTGGGAGCCAGTTTCTTGCTTCCTTCTAGCTGCAAAAGCTGGATTGCTCAGCAGCAAAAAAACAAACAAACCCCTTCACATAATTTGCTGAACCACATTTCTCTGTACAGCGTAGAGATTTGGGCAAATCACGCCTTGATACACAATGCTGGTTAACTGCTTTGCACGGTTATTTACAAAATGGCAGAACCCTTGGAGGTCATCTAGTCCTAACCTGCTTGAGCGGGAGATCCTAGACTTATTTCAGACAAGTGGTCTGTCCAATTTCTTTTTAAAAACCTGCAGTGTTGAAGCACCCACAATTTCTGGAGGGGAGTCGTTCCACCTATTAATTTTTCTCACTGGCCAGGAAATTCCTCCTTCGTTCTAGGTTGCTTCTCTCCTGGATTAGTTGCTTCTTGTCCTTCCTTCAGGTGCTTTGGTTGACTCCCTCTTCTTTATGGCAGGCCCTCAATTATTGGAACGCTGCTATCATGTCACCCCAGTCCTCCTTTTCATTAAACTAGATATAGCTCAATTCCAGCCATCGTTCTTTGTATGTTTTTTTATAAATAACGTTTACGGTATTTATTATAATCAGCTTTCTGCTATCATAATATTTCTTTCTGGAGCAAAGAAAACACACTTCTCATTCCCAGTTTTTTAAAGATAGCACCGTGAGATTGAAGGATATAGGCGCCCTGCAATGCAGAACCTAAGAACGGTGCATTGGCAGATTTGATGGAATTGTTCTGATCTGACAAAGTTGTTCCCCTTTGGGGCAGCGTCTCTGAAGCCACCGCTCGCCCCTGGCCTGATCTTTTCAGGAGTTGCCTTAAAAAAAAAAAGACAGCTTTTGAGAAATGTCTAGCCATCCCAAGCAATTAGATGAGACGGCTAACCAAACTTCCCTTACCTAAAATATTTCTCTTTTTTTTTTCTTTTGCCTGCTGGTTATCCTTGACAGAATTTGTAAGCAGGCTGGGAGTTACTTATATATCCTTTTTACATTTTCTCTGTTGAGATGGATTTGAGGAGTCCTTGGTCCTCTTGTATCTTTACTTACAGACATTTCATTACCGAATCAAGGAACATCATCAGTGCTAGAAGAGAGTGGGGTTTGCTCCCTGTCGATGGGAGTAGTTGGTGGTTCCTTAATTAAGCTGTTGTTTACTGAGTTCCTTGATTGAAGACATTGTATTGAGGTACAAACAGAGAGCAAACCCTACTCCCTTCTAGCACTGATGATGTCCCCTAGTTAGGTAATGAAACGTCTGCAGGAAAACCACCAAGCTCAGAGAGCACCAAGGACCCCACAGTTCAGCCCTGAGCTACAAATATTCCCTTTCTTCAGCGAGGTGGGATTTTGGGGTTTGGGCGGTAAGAAATATGCGTGCTGTTGAAGAAGTCCTCGGCAGATAGTTAGTTTGGTTATTACTGCTGTCTGACTTTGCTTTATGCTTCCTTTGTGTGCAGGATCTTATGGCCAAGGTGAGGGCGATGCTTGCAGCTTCTAAAAATATTTCAACCAGTGCCTCTTGAGACGGAAAGATGGAAGCTCTAGAAGGAGCAGAAAGTCCTCGTTAGCTGCAGGGGAAAAGAGTCTTCTTGCAACAGTGCCGAGTTGCAAAACTTCCTTTGCAGAAAAAAGCAGCCGTGGGAAAGGGAGCCTTTGTAAATTATGTTCTGATTGGTTTCTCAGTAAGAATTTTACAACAAGCGGTGCCTGTATATTTGTAAATACGACATTCCGGCGAGTGTTACACAAATAAATATGCAGAGAAATCCTTTTTATTAGCTAAAGGCTTTCTGGAGATTGGTTGGTTATTGTTTTAGGGGTTTGTTTTTTGTTTTTTTACTCCTTTTCTTTGTTTCAGATGACCTTATACTCGCTTTTCAATCAGGGTCCTCTAAAGTAGTGTGTATAAATTGAATTTAGCAGAACAAAGCGAGGAAATGCTAATAAAAGCAGCAGGCGAAAGGAGGAAAAAAATTAGGCGGAAGGACTGGCATTTATTGAGCTGTATAGATTTTGCTTGGAGAGAATAATGCAAAAGGGGCGAAGGGAGCAGATTTCTAATATTCTTCAGGCTATAATTGGGAGCTGACTTGCAGGGTTTTATGGCCCCCAGTCAGAAAAAAAGCTAGTTATTTACTTGGTGACAACCATCCCAAGATTTGGAATAAGACTTCTTAATACCTTCCTGGAAGAACAACTCTGGATCCTTCAGATATCCAGAGTTCTGCCTATAAAGGTAAACCTCAATTTATTTGACTTTATCATAAAATAGGAGACAACTATTTTTTTGTAGCCATGAGTTAGCAGACTGTCTCTCTCTTTCACACACACACGTTTATTTGGACTTCTAATTAAAAATATATTGGGAGCTTGGCGGATATAGTAATAATAATCCACTTGTTGAAGCCATACTTGTTGAAAATGCAAGTACAAACATACCATAGAAGACTTCCATTTTGCTGCCAGATGTTCGTGGGGCAATTCTAGAAGGATCCAGGATGCTCCATCCCAAATCCACCACTCCAGAATTGGGGCTAGGCTGCTGGTCTGAAAGTCTAGAAAGACCACAGCTGGAACTCTTGTGAAATTAGTCTTGGGAAGAAGGGAGTCGTGCGTAATCCATTTTGAAATTAGTCATAAAGGAGTAAAATTAGTATAATAAAATCTCAGACAGCTTTAGGCATTGGGAGGGTACGGGTGATTTAATGTGAGCCGTTTCCAAGTTTGTTTTAATTTGTGGAGCCTCTTTAATTTAACAGTAAATGAATTCACTGACCTATTTTTCCTTGACACATTATTATTTCTACAATCACTTTACTAAACACAAAACCATTGCTGTTTGTGCTTAACTTTAGAGAACACTAGAAAAAGCCACAATCTGTTGGGTCATCATTTCAGATATAACTTCCTTACCTAAAGCGATAAAACAGAATGAACTTAGGAAGGAAAAAGGAAGGGGAATTTGATTTCCTGCTGGCTTCCTCTTTGTGTGTGGGAAATCTCGTTGGAGATCATAATCACACGGGGGGTGCAAAAAAATTTGCAGAATTTTGCCAAAGCAACCGGTCTGAACATCCTTTCAATTTCAATCCCACGGGAGTCATGGATCCCAGATTTTGGACACATTTTTTTTAAAAGTTAAGCTACTTGATTCAAAAATTATTGTCCTGCATTGCACTGTTTTATCCAGAAACAGAAACGGGTTGCAAACAGACAAGCAGGGGAGTTTTAATAGTTTATAGATGTTGCCTTGCCTTAATAAATGGAGACTGGTAAACCGCTATTATCCACCGAATCTTGCCAATTTCCCATAATTATAGCTTGTACGAATGGAGCACAATACCGTTTTTTAAAAAACCCAAAGGAATCAAAAGGGTTTTAAGTGGCAGCTCTGAACAAGAGCCAGATTAAAACGTTGAATATGACTTGTTTCCACCTTTAAAAGTTTTATAAGATAGAGCATGACAAAGCCTTTTGATTTTACAGACTTTTATTTTTTAAAATCTGGAGACCTTGAGGTTAAAAAGTATTAGGAACTTTCAGAAAATCCTCAGTTTAAAAGGTTCAAGCATTTTACTTTAAAACTTGGCCATTCAGGCAAGCATGAATTCTTCTGATTTCAGAGTTATATCCATTGTCATTTTCTTAGCAACGATGCCGAAAAATTTGCCATTGTTAGATCTCGCCTGCAATTGAAGCATTTTCAAGTGGTCTTGTGGTCTGCATGGAGGAATTCCAGCCCTTTTTGTGTCTTCTGAGATCATTTGTCAGTCTCTGGATGGACTGCTCAAGAAGTTGGGCAATTGCAGTGCATTTTTGCAATTTACAATGCAAGGCGGAAATTAAGCTCTCCTCAGAGAATTTTCATTTTGATAGTAAACTCTTGCCAAAATAAAACGTGGATATATTGAAGGGATCATCAAGAAAATTTGGTGACCCTGAACGTTAATATCCTAGAGTCAAAAATAGCAATTGGAGCTTTTCAAGTATGGGTTTACCTTCACAGATGTGTTCAAAGATTAAATCGGAGTTGGAAGAGACCTTGTAGGTCATCCAGTCTAACCCCCCGCCCAAGCAAAAGACCAGACACCATTTCTGACAAATGGCAGCCCAATCTCTTCTTGAAAGCCTCCAGTGATGAAGCCCCCACAACTTCCGAAGGCAACTTCTGGTCCATTGATAGATTGTTCTCGAAAATTTCTCATTTCCAGGTTGACTTTCTCCTTGTCCATTATTCCTTGTCTGGCCTTCGGGTGCTTTGGAAAATAGCTTCAGAAAATAAGAATCTTGTTGACAAAGGCACTGATTATGTTACCTGGCTTGGTAATGAAACGTCTGCAAGAAAACCATCAATCTCGGAGATCTTTTAAGGAGTGTTTTTTTTTTCCAAATTGTTTTCCCAAGGAGCAATTTCTTTTGTCGTCTCTCCTACGCAATACATCGCAGTTTGAATGCGCTCAGAGATGCTGTTAATGCTGTTTTCTCTCTAAATCGTGTTCCCGATTTAAAGGGGGGGGGGAGCTACACCATTTCTGTTTGTTCCCTGACTTTCTTTGCTTCCCCCCCCCCATATTGTACTTGAGCGGCTTCTTAATTGCCTCAGGTTGCATTATGAAAAAGAACGTTTTCGGCATGTTTGGGAAGGGATTTTCCTAGCCTCGGATAATAAGGCCTCCTTGTTTATCACAAAGCGAAATGCAAAATGTTTTTTTTTATTACTTTTTAAAGAAAAAAGGCACAGAAATACATTCTGCTCAGTCTTTATGGGGGTGATCACTGCACAAAAAAGGGACGTCACAGGAGACAAACTCAATCTTTAGTTCCTTATTTGATTTATCCTTAAAATTCAAGTATTTCCGCTAAGTTCTTATGTTTGGGATGCTGCAACATTGGTCGATTCCAGACATGATGGATATGATGATATCCAGTCGTTGTTCTGACCCAAACCTTGTTCCAAGGAAACAAACACCAAACGGAGGTAACAGTAAAACCTTTTAATGATTCTTTACGAATTCCGTTCCTTCATGGTTAAAATGCTGTTCCAAAGTAATTGTCTCTGATAAGAATGAGCCTTGTCAAGGTTATGCAAGGCTGCCTAGAACACTAGATAAAGTTGCCAAGAAATATTTCAAACACAAAGAGTTTTTCAAACACCAACCAAGATAATCTGAGCACCCACAAGGCTTGAGTGCAAAAACTTCTTTGCTTCCTGCAAAGAACTCCGGTTTCTCAGCTGGCTTTTATTTCTTAAGGGAAGAGCCATTACCTTGCAGCCTTACTCCCGAGTCGCTTGTACTGCTGCAGCTGCTCTTTCCTTCAAGCAGCCCTGGGTGCAGGCTCCTTGGGGACTTCTTCATCCCTGCTGCCAGCTTCCACAATCTCCGAAGGCAGCATTCCACTCCCTCATGGTCTTGGCCCCATCCCTGCATCACACGCAGGCAACAACTGGTTAGCTTAGTTGATGGGCATGGCTTGGTCATGTGACTGGCTGGGCATGGTCAACTCAACATCACATCGAGGCATGCATCTCCTCGCCTGGCCTCATGACTGGGGATGCTGCAACGGTCGTAAGTGAAAAACGGTCATGTCACTTTTTTTAGTGCCAGTGTAACTTTGAATGGTCACTCCACACAAGCAAAGTACCAGCAAAGGAGGGAAAAAAAACTCCAGAGAAGTTCCAGAGACAGGAAGTCTAGTCCTGCCAAGAATGTAATAAAGGTTAACAGAGAGGCAGTTTCTGTAAGCAACACCAGAATGTTTCCTTCCTGCCTTCCTTACAGGATTAGTTCAGTAATTTCTTCTAACAACCGGTTCTCCAAACTGCTTAGAATGTTAACAACCGGTTCTAGCAAATAGGTGTGAACCTGTAGAATCCCACCCCAGCTGTAAGGGCCTGCCTCTTCTCTCTCGTTCAAGAAAGCAGAACTCTTGAAACAATTAGCATTTCAATAGGAGCCTTTTTTTTTTTTGAAGGAAAGCGATAGCAATGCAGAGGAAGAAGAATCTGAGGATTCCCGCACATATCCGTTAGGTTAAAGCAGTTAGAAACCTCTCTCCTCAGTCTGGAGTTGAATAAGCCAATCCATAGGTGTGGTTGTTTTGAGAACCAGAGTGTGATGATCCGGGACATGGAACAGAAGCAACACAGCCAGAGAACAGGTTTAACTCTCCTTTATTGTTTCAACTTTGCCCCCAAACGTCCCCACCTTTACCGCAAGTCCTGGAGCAAAGCTCTCACACGCACCTTCAACAGCCCCTGGCTGAGAGTAGTCCAGGAAGCCAGGTTTGCAAACCAATAACCAGGGGCCAGCAGTCCAGTAAGACAGATTAGCAAACCGGTAACCAAGGGAAGAAGTCCAGTGAGCAAGGTGAGCAAAAGAGTAAACCAAGAGGTTCCGCGGAGTAGGCAAACTGTGGCTCTTCTGTCCCGAGGATCAGCCCATAGATTTCCACTGCTCTCTGCCTTCTGCGCATCCACACGTCAGGCACTGGACCCAGCTGTTCCTCCTCTTCCTCATCAGCCACCTCCAGACCTGGCTCTTCCATCCCAAGGACCTGCCCATAGATTTTCACTGCTCTCCTTTCCTCTGCCTTCTGCAGAGGAACATCCGTGCGTCAGGCACTGGACCCAGCTGTTCCTCCTCTTACTCGTCAGCCACCTCCAGACCTGGGGGCTGTTGAGTCTTGGCAAGCTTGGCAACTGACGCGTATTTATGACGGTTGCAGTGTCCCGGGGTCACGCGATCCACCTTTTGCGACCTTCTTAACAAGCAAAGTCAACAAGGA